TTATACATTTAGACCGGATTATTTTCCACACTCAGAAACTGCAGATTGTGCCTTAAAACAGCGGCCACGTGGTTATCAGAGTGCGCAGGTGCACATTCTGAGTGGGCCTGTCTGCAGATGAGGAAAACTGAGAAGATCTACAAGGTTTGTTTTCCCTCCTCTTTATATTTTTGAGCTCTTTTTAAAAATAAAATGACTGGCTTTGTTATCTTTGTTTAAACTGAGGCAAAAAAGTGATCCGTGTTGATCTGAAACATAGAATCCTGGAACCACCTTCACTTTTGCTTTACTAATGTTAAGGTGCGGGAATATTTACAGGTTTATAGATGGCAAAAACATCAGTGGTACAGTTTAACGTCATACTTTTTAGACACATTGCAAATGTAGGGCATAAGTACTTTGCTACTTATTTCATAGTATAAAATTATTTTCATGCTAAATACTGCATTGCTGTTTTTTGTAGCAGTTCTGTAGCAAGAATATGGCTCCATATGTTTATACACATAAATGAAACTGCCGTTTTCTAGAAATAAAGTAGACACATTTAAAAAGAAAAGGGAAAAAATTATATAACGTTGGTTCAACAAATTGATACTTTGAAATATTACAGTACTTGTCAAAAGTCTTGAGCCAGCCCTCGTTTCTTTAAAATGTTCTTGCTAAATGGAAAACGGTTACAGTGGTTCATTGAAATGTGCAGAATAGTCTAAATAATGACTTTATAAAGAACGTCAGTATTTGGTATGACCACCTTAAATTCTTTCCCCAATAGTCTGAACTTTTACTCTTCAGGAGGAACATCTGTGACCTAGTCAGCTAATCTTTGCTGTTACCAAACTTAGTTTTTAACTTAGTTTTGTTCTTTGTTGTCTGGATTATAATATGCAATGCATGATGTGAGCTGCCGTACAGTTAAGCAGCATGACTGATTACTAAAGAATGTTATTCATCTTTTCCAATGACTATGTCTAATGTGTGTTTGACATTATTCAAGGCTAAGCTTTAACTTGGTATCTTAGTGTCTGTTGGTTTTAGACTAGTTGGTTAGCCCATTCTTTTTAATATCCTTAGTCTCCAGGACTAGTTCTGCAGGCTTCTTCAAAGCCCTCCTTTGGATGTTGGCTGCCTTTTATTTGGTTCTCTGTCAAGATGATCCTCCAGTCCATGGTCAGTCTAATTCTCACACACTACTGGCTTTAGAAATCTTGGAGAGCTATGGCTCAAGATCATTTTAAAAATGACCAAGTCTGAGTTCAAAATGTAAAGAATTTGATTATCAAGTGTTAAAACCAAGTGTTTAAATGTGTTTAAAGTTTAAGATAAGTTGTTGCTATGGCAACTAATCTTAAGATAATATTGGCTGTCCTTTTCTTTTAAATTATATTTAAAAAACAAAAATTAACTCTGAACTTCTCCTAAATCTCCTTATCCCCTCTCCTGGAGGCTGGTTCCAGGACCCATATAGTGCATTGAGGTGACGATTAAAGGAAACAAGCCCAAAACTCGGGTGTCGGTTAGTAAACTGAAACGTAAAAAAAGTTTAGTCAACAAATCTTCCTTTGCGGAGCAGGCGTAAACAATCACCAAACACAGCTCATTAGCTGCACCCACCAAAAACAGCTCTCTGGCACCAGAGCTCATCTTTCTCTGGCCTTAAATACCTTTAATTGCTGATAGGAGTCAGCTGTACAAAAGAAAAAGGTGGCACCTAAGACAGGACCTTCAGGAGGACACACCCACACAGGCAATTTCAGGAGGAGGCCCTGCTAGGGCCGTAACAAAGGCCAATACACAGGTCG